ATCTCACACAATACAAAAATTCAACTCCAAATGGGTTAAAGACTTAAATGTAAGACATAAAACTTTAAAACTACTGGAATAAAACACAGACCTTGGTCTTGGCAATGCTTTTTTTGATATGACATCAAAAGCACAGGCAACTCTCCTGACCCATGTGGCTCAGTTGATAGGCTGTTGTCCCTCAATGCGACATGTCACCAATTCAATTCTCAGTCATGGCATATGCCTGGTTGTGGCTTTGGTCCCTAGTTGAGGAGCATACGAGAAGCAACCAATGAATGTTTCTCTCCCTTTCCTTCTCTCTCCTTTCCCCTCTCTTGAAAATAAATAAATAAAATGTTTTTTTTTTAAGCACAGGCAACTAAAGCAAAAATAGAAAGTGGAATTGCATCAAACTAAAAAGCTTCTGCATAGCAAAAGAAACTATCAATAAAGTGAAAAAGACAACTTATGGAATGATAAAAATATTTACAATTCATATATATGATTTGGGGTTAATATTCAAAATTTATAAGGAACTCAGACACCTAAATAGCAAAAAACATAATAATAATAACCTGAATAAGAAATGGGCTAAGGACCAGAATAGATATTTCTAAAAAGACATAGAAATCACCAACAGGTATACGAAAAGGTGCTCAGCATCACCAATCAGAGAAATGAAAATCAAAACCACAATGAGATATCACCTTACACTTGTAAGGATGGGCATTATTAAAAAGACAACAGATAACAGCCCTGACTGGTGTGGCTCAGTGGGTTGGGCGTTGTCCCGCAAACTGAAAGCTCAGAGGTTTGATTCCCAGTCAGGGAACATGTCTGGGTTGCGTGCCAGGTCCCCAGTAGGGGGCATGGGAGAGGAAACTGATAGATGTTTCTCTCCCTCTCTCCTTCCTTTCTTCTCTCTCTAAAATTTTTTTTAAAAATCTTTTTAAAAAGATATGAGATAACAAATGTTGGCAAGAATGTAAATTGGTACAGACTCTATGGAAGACTGTATGTAAGTTTCTCAAAAAATTAAAAATACAGCCCTGGCTGGTGTGGTTCAGTAGATTGAGTGCCAACCTGCGAACCAAAAGGTCTCTGGTTCAACACCTAGTCAGGGCACGTGCCGGGGCTCTGGGCCAGGTCCCCAGTTGGGGGCAAGCGAGAGGCAACTGATCAATGTATCTCTCACACATCGATTTATCTCTCACACATTGATGTTTCCCTCTCTTTCTCCCTCCCGTCCCCTCTCTCTAAAAATGAATAAATAAAGTCTTTTTTTTTAAAGTCCCTTTGAAAAAAATTAAAAATACAACCACCATTTGATTCAGCATTTCCACTTCTGGGTATATATCCAAAAGAAATGAAATTACTATCTGAAACAGGTGTCTTGAACTCCCAAGTTCATGCAGCATTATTCACAATAGCCAAGATATAAAAATCACTGAAGTGTCAGTTGATGGATGAATAAAGAAAATGTTTATATACGAGTACACGCACACACATACATACACATGCAGGGTGGGGCAAAATGGCTTTACAGTTGTAAGCATGTGAAACAGAGTTTATGCTTGTATTATTATTTATTATTTTCCACATGAACAACTGTAAACCTATTTTTGCCCCATCCTGGAGAGAGGGGGAGGGAAATATATTGCTTAGTTTTTAAAGAATGAAAGAATCCTATTTGAGACAACATTGATAAACCTGGAAGCCATTATTCTACGTGAAATGTCAGACAGAAAGGGACAAATACAGCATGATCTCACACAGGTGGAATCTAAAAATATCAAATCCATAAAAGCAGAGTGGGATGGTGGTTGCCAGGAGCTAAGGTGTGGAGAAAATGAGGAGATGATGGGCAAAGGGTAAAATGTTTCAGTTATGTGGGGTGAATAAGTACTGGAGATCTAATGTACAGCACAGTGGCTATAGTTAATCGCACTCTATTATATACAAGGGGGTATCCAAAAAAAAGGAATTTATTTGTAAAAAAAATTGTATATTCATTCTTACATGTTTAAACATCAGTCACCTTCAAAGTACTCTCCATCTGATGCAACACAACTATCAAAGCATTTTTTTCCAGTGCTCAAAACAGTATTTGAACTCATTTATTTGGATGCTTTTCAATACTTCTGCCATTTTTTGTTTCACCTATTCCACATAGGCCAAACGTTTCCCTTTCAGGACTTTTTTCATCAAGGAAACAAAAAAAAATGTCAGGAAGAGACAGGATAAACAGGGACAGTGGGGCACGGAGGTCATGCAGTTTTGGGTGAAATACTGCTGAACACTTAGCGTGGTATGAACAAGTGGGCTTGTAAATCACCCACCATGAAATGGGCAAATGCATGGAGTCTTCAAAAACATTTTACTCAAGCCAAACACAGCTTCTCACCACAATGTCAGCTGGTACACTGATAGAGATGGGTTCCTAGAACACTCACCTACAAGGAGAAGCCTCCAGAAGATAATTCTGGTTTTTTGGGGTCCCCCTCATACTTCAAATTTACTGAGTTAACTTTAAGTGTTGTCACCATACACAAAAAAAAATGGTAACCATGTGAGTTGATGGATATGCTAATTAGCTACTTACAATTATTTCACAATGTCTATGCATATTTGACATCACATTGTGCACTTTAAACCCATTTTTATTTGTCAAGTATAGTTCAATAAGGCTGGAAGAATAAAATTAAATTTTATAAAAAGACACTTCCCTTTCTTTCATGGACACTGAAAACTTTTATTTATTTGTCTATAGGAAAATGGACAAATTGCAGGATAATAAATTCATTATGAATTTTTTTTAAATACTCCATTCACAACAGCATGAAAATCTAAGTTACTTAAGAAACTTCTCAAAAGAGGTCATGATTTTTATGGATGCAACTATAAAATTTTCCTGATAGATTGAGATTATTGGAAATATGTCAATTGCCCTCAAATAATTTACAGGTTTATTGCCTTACCTGCATGTGCAAAGATGATAAACTTGGGCTGCTATCTTCCACTCTTGCTTTGATGTGGATGGACTGTGGTCTGCAGAGGTTGAAGGACAACTCAATTCCAGGAGTCAACGTATGGTGATGATTCTGAGGGAGGATTAAGAACCCCCATCACAGAAGAGACTTCTCCCCAGGCCTATCTTACCAGCTATTAGGCATGGGAGACCTTGGGACATAATGGCAAGATGTGGTAGACTTTGACTTTCACCAGCAGAGGGGGTACATTTCCAGAGGGGGGCAGTGGCTTTGATATGATGGGGCAAGACTCAGATCAGCAGAATCGCAGGGGCTGCCAGATTATGAAAGTGAGAGTTTTTATAGAGGGCTGAATTGGCCACTCACCCCAGACAAAAGGGCCCCATTGGTGCCCCTGGGAGGCCCCAGGCAGGACTGTCAGAAACAGGCTCCATCGCCCACACTCTGTATTTTTGTGATGTGCTTTTCGGGGAAAGAGGGATTTAAGGCAGAGGGTGCAGGTCCTGTCAGGAGAAAATATGAATACCTTTTGGAGGATAGGGTAACCCCAACCCAGAACATATAAGGAGCCACACGCAAACCTACCTTGTCTTTGCTGTCAGTCTGGTAGACCCTATACAAGCCCAATAGAGAGATTCCCCGCCTCTCTTCTATTTTGGATGTCTTGGTGAGGTAAGGGTCTCAATGTGAGGGGTTGAGGCCTCAGGTTGGCAGGGGGAAAGGGGAGGGCTTAGGCAGAAGTCAAGGCAAGGACTGAAGGATTTTCCCATCCCAGGTAGAGTGGAATCCAACCCCCTCTGCTCCTAGGAGCCTTGGGAAATGCAAAGGAGAGTACCCGGATGTGTGGTAGCCTGACTTTTGCCTTGGGAATCTGTGGGAGGCAAGGTTTCCTCTGAGGCGGCTGGACTCAGGTCAGCAGAGGGAGGAGTCTCAGGCCCTGCAGGCTTCAAGGGGAGGCTCCAGAGGGAGGAGTGATGTAACCTCCTACCATAGATAAAAGGGGCCTCAGCCTGAGGCTCTGCCCCTTCAGCCATTCCTGCAGACCACAGGCAGAGTGCGAGGAAGTGACATACGTGAACTTCTGGCCTCCGGAGTCTGAGGGACCAGAATCTTCAGACTGGATTCAGATCAGCAGAGGGAGGGAGTACGTGGACCCTGCTAACCCTTAAGGTAAGGGCTAAAGGGAGTTCTCATTGCTAAGAGAAGGTGCCCCAGCCCCCACCCTGCCCTTGTTATCTGCCCAGCAAATTGTTATCCGGACTGCCATCTTGGGAGTCTGAGGGCCTTCCATCTTGAGAGTTTGAGGGACCGCCATCTTGGCAATCTGAGGGAAGGGAGGCTTTTTCTGAGACTTGAGTACTCGAGTCCTTAGACGGAGGTGTCCCAGGCTCTGTGAGATTTTAAGGGGAGGTCCCTTATGGAGGACTGATGGAACCCCCTATCATAAAATAAAAAGCTCAGACACACTTCCCTGCTCTCAGCCTTTAGAGGCCCTTGCCAGTTAGGCAGAGGTGCCTACCCCGGTGCTATATACTTATTTGTGGATACTTTACCCGTGATAGGATCCTTGCTTCAGGGCCGCATTCTCAGGTCTGCAAAAGGGAGAAGGTGCGGGCCCTGTCAGAAGTAACTGTGAATTCCTTGGGGAGGAGGGTGGCATACCACAGAATCCAGCAGAATCTCTACAGCAATTCACCTCAAGTCCTGTCAGCCCTGGGGACCCCAGGGAATGCTGTCAGGCTGAACCTTATCCCCTCCATTCACAAATCAGGGGCCTCAGGGAGTTATGGGCCTTTTTTCTAAATGGCCCAATCTGTGAGGATCAGAGAGGGAGGAGTACCAGGCCTTTTAGGAAGGGCTGAGAGGCTAGAAGACTCCATAGAATTCTGCCCTTTCTCACAGTTCTGTGAGGACCCAGGAAGGGCTGACAAGTTTGTTTCTCACAGGCTTCCTCTCTCCCTCAGGCCATTAGCCCCATCACCCACTTCCGGCTCACACTCCTGCCTGCTGCTCCCAACACAAGTCATCATGCCTGGCAGTGGGAAGAGTCAGTGCCAAAAGCCTAAAGAAAGCCTTCAGGCCCAAAGAAAGTCTCCAGGCCCGGTAGCTGCACAGGTTTCTGTAACTGAGGAGGAAGCTTCCTCCTCCTCTCTTTCTCCTTTGATCCAGGAGACTCCAAACACGCTTGCTGCTGGAATATCAAGTGTTCCCCAGAGTTCCCAGGGAGCCTGCTCCTCCCCCCCTGCCATCAAAGCCATTCCATCAAGCAAATCAAATGAGGGCTCCAGCAGGCAAGAGGGTCCAGGCACCTCGCAGGCTCCACCAAATCCTGAGTCCTTGTATGCTGAAGGGCTACAAAAGAAGGTGGCTGAATTGGTGAAATACCTGAGTAGCAAGTATTTAACAAAGGAGCCCGTCACAAAGGCAGAAATGCTGAAGAGTGTCATCAAAGAGCACAAGGATCACTTCCCTGAGATCTTCCAGAAAGTCTGTGAGTGCATGGCGGTTGTCTTTGGCATTGAAGTGAAGGAAGTGGACCCCACCAGCCACTCCTATGTGTTGGTCAAAATACTAGACCTCACCTATGATGGGCTAGTCTGTGACGACCAGGGCATGCCCAAGACTGGCTTCCTGATACTAATCTTGGGCATAATCTTCATGGAGGGTAACCGTGCCCCAGAAGAGAGAATCTGGGAAGTGCTGAATATGATTGGGGTGTATGCTGGTAGGGAGGATTTCATCTATGGGGAACCCAGGAAGCTCATGACCAACGATTTAGTGAAGGAAAAGTACCTGGAGTGTCAGCAGGTGCCCAACAGTGATCCTCCACGCTACGAGTTCCTGTGGGGTCCAAGAGCCTATGTTGAAACCACCAAGATGAAAGTCCTGGAGTTTTTCACCAGGGTCACTGGGACTGATCCCACTGCCTTCCCCCGCTGGTATGAGGATGCTTTGAGAGATGAGAGAGAGAGAGCTGAGGCCAGCGCTGCCTCCGGTGATGGTACTACCACCACGGCTAGTGAGAGCTCCAGTGTCACATCCAGCAGCTTCTCCTGTCCTGAGTAAAGTCTGAGGAAGTTTCTCCACTGTATTTGAAGAGGGAAGTCAAGGTTCTAAGTAGTGGAGTGTTGAATTGCAGATTTTACCTTTTTCTTTCTTTCTAGTATGCTTCAAATGTTCTTTCTCCTCAAAGATTAGCTTCAGAGTTTAGGTTCACGAATAACATTGGTCATGTATTTAGTACTGTTTAACAGGTTTGAGGATAAGAATTTTGCTGTTCCGTATAACAAACTAGGAACCTTCCATCTCATTTTGTGATCTGGAGCAAGATAACATGGCATCGGAATAGGAATTAATCATGTAAAAGTGTTCAGTAATAAAATAGATGAGATCAAGAAATAGAAAAAAAATGTACAAGATGGTTACCCTAGGATTCCTGTATCTTAGTCTGCTGTTTTGTAAAATTAAAGATATACTTGGCTTTGCTTGACTAATTAAAGAAATGTATGCAAAATTAAATCTTAATGAGAGCCCCAATTCAATGGCTCCTTTTTTATTCTAGGTGTCTGATAGGTTAGAAAACTGCTCTTAGAAGTTTCTTTGGGATCATGAATAAACCTGAGAGAAATCCCCACCTGAAGCAGGTGTGGAAACTATCCTGTACTTGTCCCCAGGCTGCCGAACAAGTGCACAAACTAAGTGCTCTATACACTATGTCTGCAAGGATTTTCTGAGAAGAGGGTGATATTTCTTTGAAGTGGTGCCCAGGGGCTGGCACTTTTTCCCTGGCCTAGGACAGCCAGACCCTGCTCCACTGAAAGGACATTTTAATTAGGCTATCTTGAGTGTAATTTTGCCAGGTCTCAGTAAAGGCAAGATTTTTGGGTGGGGGTGAAATGAATGAAAATAGTTGTTTGTATGGAAGAGCAGCTGAAGGGAGGAAAGGGGTTAGTCCTTGACTCAGATTCTAGGAGCTTTGAGTTGCATTCCACTGGGGAAGATTTCCTCATATCCAAATTAAATCATATAGCCACTAGCAGGGAAAGCTTACCAAGTTTTATATAAAAGGTTGCTTTTCTGGCTCACTGGGCATCTTGTGTCCTAGAGTGCTGCATATTCTCTGAGATGTCTTCACACACACAATCCCAGAAGCAAGTGATAGAGGCTGGGGTCAAAATCACATTAGACATTACTACTGCTTTTCATTAAAGATCCAATCAACATCAGGCACTATACAGATGCTTCACTTACATTATATACCAGTCCTACAAGTCAGAGCTTATCAAACCCGCATCACGGATGAAGAACCTAAGATTCCTAGTACTTGGAAATTTGCCCAAGATCATAGTGCCGAAAGGACAGGACTAAGACTAGATCTCAGTCCTGAAATCACCTAGGCCCAGAGTGTTTCTACTCCTCCCAGCCTGAGGCAGACCTTTTCTTTGTTCATTTATCTTCTCAGTACTCCCAACTTTTTCAGGGAACAAAGAGGGGTCTGTGGCCAAGGTACTAAAAGTGAGCCTAAAGGAAGGTGACAAGGAGAAGCAAACACCATTTGGGGATTATCTGCAGGCTTTATTTTCCTAGGGTCCTCCTGCCTGAGCCCCAGGGCTCCCTGATAGTGGACTCTGCCTAGGTGCTGGCAATTAAGTCCAGTCCCACTGCTTTCCTGCATTACAGGCACCCTTCCCCTGGTCTCCCTCCATGTGTCCTTCTGTCCAACTCAGCAACCTGGCCTGCTGACCAGCTTGTCACTTCCTCTGATACTGTGTGCCCTGCTCCCAGAGAATCAGCTCAAAGTTACCTGCCTTAACCCCTCATATTGAACATTCCTACTCCCTGCAAAAGTCTCGGCTGCTGCATCTTTTTCTGGAGCCACAATAAAACGTGCGTTTTGGAGGATGTTTAGATGCCTGGGCATCCCCCTTGGCATCCTCAATACATTCTCCAATTGTTTCTCAACTTGATATCACAGTGTAAGCAAACATCTACAAGGGCTGAATTCTTAAAGTCCTGGAGTCCTCCTAGGAGATGAAGTATGGTTCCTTGGTGGACATATTAACTCTGATTTAAAAAGAAAAAAATAGTTAACCATCCTTCCACTGCCTCTTGTATGTATATCTGCCCCACAGAAATACCCTGTTTTGCAGTATGCCTGACGACATCTATACAGATACTTGGGACTGTTAGTCATGTAGAGTATAGCAACGACTCACAAATTGACATTTTGACTATGCATCATAAGGAAGGGGAAACTTCTCAGGCTACTGAGATTATAGAGATTATTGCAAAGAACAGTACGGGTCCCCCTGCTAAGAATTACAGGATCCTTTGAAAACAAGATGTGGCCCTGTATTTGAAAGCACTTGTCACATAGTAGGCACTTGAAAAGTTGTGACTTTCAAAGAAAAAATGGTATTCTCAGAAACACCTCCAAGAAATTAAGAGGGCTCTTTGTCATAACAAATTATAATAGCTGCTTTTTATTGAGCACCTACTATATGGCAGCTTATGGAAGAGACTACAAGTGCTCATTCACATCCTGTCTTTCCTTCCCTCCTGGAACATCCATTTGTAGTTAGACAGGACCCAGTAGGCCATTTCCATGCTTCCTTTGCCATTCAGTAGCAAACATGGAGCCCCCAGGTTAAGATAGTAGAGCTACCAGGTAGAAGCAGCCAGGATCCATGAGTTGCCTGAGAGCAGAAAGTCCCTGCCAACAAATATCAGAATTCATGTGAAGAGCAAAAACTGTGCTAAGCCATTTAAATTTCAGGATTTCTCTGCTGCATAAGTGAACAGTTTCTTTAACTAATTAATGCCAAGCCCTTTATTTCAGTTCTTAGGCTTATTTAAATATTTTAATTACAAAAGTATTGTGTACATATACTTACAGCAAAACATTCTAAAAATAGAGATCAGTCACAATTCTCCCCTTTACAAAGTTACCCCTCCACCACCAATTCAGCCCTATCCTCAGAGGTAACTACAAGCAACTATCTGATGTGCATTTTTATTTTAAAGCTATTTTAGGCTTTTCCATAGATTTGCCATATAATATGTATTGTATTTTTTGCATGCATGGGTAATAAAATGCATATTCATCTGACACCTGCCTTTGTCACTTAATAAAATGGATCTGGGATCTTTCTATGACAGCATAGGCAGGTCTACCTCACTTTAGTAACTACTCTCTAGAATTCTGAAGTACATATATGCCATAATTAATTAAACACTTCTCCACTTGATAAATACACATTTCCCATTTTTACTTGATTAATAGAACTTAAATCAAAATCTTTGTACATGAACCCTTATGTGTGCAAATGTATGTATTTCCTTATAAGAAAGAAATTTTAATGTAGAATGTTGGCTTATTTGAAACAGACTACTGGTCACCACTGAAAGGGTATATTTTAAACTTTTGTAAATATTGCTGAAACTCTAGCCTGTAAAAGTTATAACAAATAATTTTCTCATAAACTAATGTATTTTAATAACCTACATAGTCAGAACTATTTCATATTATCCATATTTCAAATTTTGGGGAAAATTATGGGTAAAATATATTATCTATTGTTTTAATTTGTATGCCCGTTTTCTCGTTAGGATAAGCAAAAAACTAACTTAATCCCTCATCCTCATAAAGCTGTATTTACTTGGGTCTTTTCTCCATAGAGGCAGAAGGTCCAGGCATGTAGTAGGCTGCACATTTTGAATCAGCAAATGTGAGTTTCTGGTACTTAGTTTCATTCATTCATCCATCCAGCAAACATTTATTGAACACGTGCTCAAGAAAAACAAAAGAAAATGACAAAGCACTTAATTCGGACTGGAGATTACGTCAGCTTGCATCAATAGAGGTCATTTGAGGCCACAGGTCTAGGTAAAATTGAGGTTTGTGTGTGTGTATATATATAGCAGACATCTCCTCTCCTGCAAATCAAAATCACACAAAACTTGATTAATCCAAGGAAAAAAATTAAAGGGAGAAGATACTCACCAAAAAATCCACCAAAGAACGATTTTCTATTTCCATATATATGTATACCCCCCACACATACACACACACACACACACATATATATGCCTGAGAGCATGCCTGTGTATCTGTAGCTCATATTATATATACGGTTATATGTTGTATCTCAGCTCACTTTTAAGAAGCTACTCTTGGCATCCTTTGTCCAACTTTGAGCTTACATCCACAAATACCCAGACGCATCTCTAACTTCCTAGTGTGTCTGTTTTAGGCAGCTGGAAGGTCTGCAATAACTACTGCCTCATCCTAAACAGAACAAGAGGCTGGAGGTCTCAGATAACTGGAGGCTGAGATTCCATAATGCCTCCTATATTTAATTGGTGGAGAGTGATTGTCAAAATTCTAGATGAGAGACATCATGTTCCAACTAAATCTTTTGGAGAAACTGAATCCACGAACATAAGCAAGGCAGAACAATTTGGTTGAAATGAAGACTGTAATTCCTGAGTCCTGTTCACTCAGTGCCCTTTCTCCTCCCTCAGGGGCAGTGACCCTAGCACGTGACCACAGCACTCTAGGGTTCCCCCTGAGTGTTGCTGGGAAAGCTGTATGCCAGATGGCCTTTCCTCAGCCATGGACTTCATCAGGCCCTGCACAGACATCCATGTGTGTGTGCTGCTTCTCAATTTTGCTATCTGGCTTTCTAGCACTGCCAACAAATTGGAGCCCCCAACTGTTGCATTCCCAACATGCCTTACCATCCTGTTTCTTGTTCCCCAACTCATTACCCCACCCTTGACTTAAACACACAGTCACACACAGTCCTACCCACTCATCTAGTTTCTATTCTCAGAATGGAACTGGATGTTATCCCTGCAACCCACCGCCCCCCTTCAGATTTCGTTAGAATTTGTCACAGGCACCTCCTTCCTGCTTACTACAATCCCCGTCTCATGCTTCCTTCCCAGCCTTACCTTGACCTCTCTTCTGCAAAGAGGCCATGCTAGTGCTTTACCTGGTATTGAGTTGGCCAAAGATTCATTTAGTTTTTCCCCTACAATGGCTCCAGTAGTGCTTAGTTGTC